AGACAGATTTCACCTTGTTTCTGCAGCAGGCAGCAGCAGGGAGTGTGAAGAAAGATAAGAGCAACACAAAGAGGCAGAAAGGGTGCAAAGAGGGATGGAATGAGCAACTGGATCCATAAGACACACTGTACAGTGACTCAAGACCTGACAGAGAGAACACTGACTGAGGTTCGGACTGACTTAAGAACCTCATTGACTGACAATGACCACAATCCTGGAAATGAAACCCTATCAGAAACTGGAAAGAGCTCAACTGAGGAAATCCTCCAAAAAGAGTCCACCATGCAAATTAGGTTGTACACTGAAAAGGTTGGAGTGCCATTTACTGGAAAACAGCTAGGTAACAATTTCCACACAGAAATTCTGAGTAGCTTTTACTCAGAAAAATGTCAAGTAAAGTTTACGTGCCAGCAAGACTTTTTTTTTTTTTAACAATCAAGTAAACATTACTGGCAAGTTTCTTTTAAATGCAAAATGCTAGTAAATAGTTGTTGATAGTAAATTTTACTCAAAATACCTTTGCATCTACTTACAAAACCCAGATAAAGGTGCTTAATTTTCATGATTAGTTAACTAGTGTTTCGTTACTTTATTTTGAGTAATATTTAAGTAATGTCTAAATAATTCATCTTCTACCTACACCACTATTCTAACATGGATTTGTTGCATTTTTAGCCTGGACTACTTTTAATTAAATTAAATTCTTAACAAGGCGTTTACAAATACGAAATACTTTCAAACAACAGCACTAACAACTCGAAACAATATTTCAGTATTTCAATATTTTAGAGTATGTGTGTTTTGAGTCTACAGCTTTGAAATTTCATCAAAAGCAGGGATGTGAGTTTCCTCACAAATCCTTTATACATGAGAATGTAGTACACTCATAATCAGTAGTCGAGTTGTAAAAAAAAAAAAAAATTCAGGGGGGATGGTGGGGTTTATTTTTTGGGATGGATATTTTGCCCCGATGACAGTGCATATGATGTGAAACAAACTATGTACCTTTTTGTTAAAGCTCAAAGATAATTATTTTACTATCCTAAAACAACATATATGACATGGATCTTATATGTCAGATTCTTCTGTAACTGATCTTGACCAAGATACCTCAGAATTGGAGTCAGTCCCCAGGCTGGCATGGCTATCACTGCTCCTACGCAGTAAGAAGTAAATGCAGAGGACCACTTTTCTCACTGAGTTGAAGTGCAGTTTCATACTCAATGTACTTTGAGATCATTTGGTAATTCATCTACTGAAGTGTGAAACAAAACCTCACAAAAACTGCAAATGAAACTCTGAATCCTCTCAAGTCAGGTCAAGTTCATTTTAATTCAAATGCAAAAAAATTTAATGAACTACTTGAAACAATTTACAAAATTTGAAAATGAATATCAAAAATTTACAAAAATGCACAACACCAACACCTGAGATATTTTAAACTTGAGGTGACTAGCCTCTAAAAACAAAATAGGAAAACTAAAATGGATAACTAATCAGTTGTTTTTTTTCTTTCAATAGCTACCTACCCAGTTCTCCCCTAATTCACAGAAGTTTCCAAAGATTTTCATAATCATGTTTTTCGTAGTAAATTTTCCGGCTCTTGCTTTTGGATCATCAGCTAGACAATGGATTTGAAGCCAAGGCTTGACATACACAGCTGGTTTGAACACTTTCAATAGAGGGCCAACACACTTGATGAAAAGCAAGGCTGAAGTGCTTTGTACTTCTGGAAGCTTCTAGTTGTGGTTAAAATGTTCATGTGACTGAAGCCACGCTCACACTCAGCTGTGGAGGTGACCAGTGTGTTCACAGCTTGAAGGAGGGTTTTAGCTCTTCTGGCACTGCTGGTTCCATTTCATCAACATCTGTTAGAAAACAGCATTGGCCAAATAAAGATTATTATAAATTTACATTTGCTCCCAAAGCAGGCACAAGGTTTTAAGAGACTGTTTAAAGTTAAGCACATACTAATAATGTTCATTACTGCCTGACTTCTCCTTTCACTATGATAAATGACGTTAATGTTGGACTCTTCGCTTGTTTATATAATCTGGAGAATCTCAGACAAACGTTATCTTGCTCAGCCCAGACTGATAAAAGCAAAACTAAACTCCATTAAGAAGCCAAACATGAGTTAGCCAGTAACCGTTAGCATCGCTAGCAACCTAGCATCATTAGCTGTGTTGTTATCACTACGTCTAGAGATTACGCATTTGGTGAGAGAATGGTTAATTTATGGAAAGTAATCCCCCCTCAACTCGAGCACTGCTCATAATAAATGTTCTGCCAGTTCAGCCAGAGCAAGGCCTTCCTGTGCTACATTTCCACTGACCACAAGGAGCTTGAGGAAATGATGAGCAGGGTCTTCGTCGTTCACATCCTGTCAAAAACATGTGATTCAGTGCTCAGAAGTCAATATACTAAACATTTTTTCTTTAATGTTCCTAAATATACAAGAGGGGATTCATGGTGTTGAAGCAGACAATTCATATAGCCTGTTTTAATCTATTTACTTAACTGAGACTAAAATAATGATTGACTTTTCACATCTTTGTCAGAGTTAAGCCAGGTTTGTGCCTTAATGTGTCACATATGTCACTGAGGCAACAATCCTTTTTCATAGACAAGATTGTATGAAAAATGAAGATGGTCGTTAAAAATACTATTTTGTAATATTTTCTGAACCCTCAACAAAGGTCTGACTCAGAACCCAGCATGCAACTTGCAAAGTGGTGCGAAACTATTTTCACCATTTAGTTATGTTGATCCATTTAAATCAAATCAAGTTTATTGTCATTTTTTAGAAAATGGTATTGTAAACTCTGAGTATGACTGCAGAGTGATGTGATTTGCTCCAAGCAAAACAAACAGGTATTTATTAACTGAAGAAGTGAACAAAAAAGAAAAAAGTGATTTAATTTAATTAAACAAACAAATTCAGAAACTGAGTCAAATGGAATGACAAATACATGAAGACATAACTGACTAAATAGAATGAGGTTGTATTGTACATCACAACAAGACAACATGGCAGAATAGGAGCACGAGGAAGACAAGTCTTATAGAGCGCGTCCCTGTAACAAAGAAGAAATAAACCACACATAGATGGCCTTCAGTCAGTATTTACAGAACACAAATCTCCTCCTCCCCCCCAACTTATTGGCTTTTATATCTTTCGATTACACTTTTCATCAATCTATATTTTAATTGAGCAATAGGATTTGCCTCTTTACATTCACTGTTTAGGGAATTCCACAGCTTCACTCCATTTATTGAAAAACTCCTCTGTTTTAGTGCGGTTCTTGATAAAGGCACTCGAAAATCTCCTTTCCTTCTGCTGTTGCTGTCCGTGATCAGTGAAAACAAATTTAATAAAGGTTCTGGTGACGACCCCTTGGATATCTTACTTATCATTATTACAATTTAAAAATCAACAAGATCTTTGAATTTCAAAACACAAGATTTAATGAAAAGGTCATTTGTGTGCTCCCTTGGGCCTTTATAATTTATAATGCTTTTTTAAGCAACCATAATCGTTCTAAAGCATTTTTACATGCATTTCCCCACACTTCAATACAGTACGCAAAATATGGAAGAATTAATGTGGAATAAAGAAGAAGTAATTGTGAGGGTTATGGAATATGTTTTGTGTTTTGTGTTTTTTTCTCTGCCTCCTGTGTTTGTGTCTTGGTGGGCGTGTGTTTTCTCGGCAGCCGAAGGGGAGAGGACTTTCTCGCGCTGGCAGGTGCAACTCTTCAGCTCATCAGCGGAGCACCTGAAATACAAGCTTCTCACAGATCTCCAGCGCCAGATGATTGTGAATCATCCTTGTGGTACTGCCAGGCCGCTTAGTTGCTCTCCTTCGCGAAGCAATTACAACTAAGTTTAAGTATTTTCGAGTCTCTAGTAGTTCGTGTGTTTTTGTTTGCCTCCAGCGTTCCCTCTTTGACTCCAGCCTCCAGCGTTTCACGAACCACACCAGCCGTAACCCTCTCCAGCTTCACCACGGAACCCACCGCAAAGAGCACCCTCACGAGAAGTTCTCCTTCCACGAGCACCTGCACTGGGAAAACCTTCACCGGGAAGAAGCACCTCGGGCACCGTCCCTGCGCGCACCATCCTCTGATTCCTCCACGCCTCCCTCTCCAGCACTACCTCGGCAGCACTTCCCCCTCCTCGGATTCCAGCACGGACAAACCTCCACCTGCACCCCCCTCGACTGGCACTCCTGCATCTGTTTCCTGCTCCTGGTGACCTCCACTCTCTCACCCTTATTAATAAAACCTTTTCATTATAACCTGTTTTCTCCTGCCTCCCCTTTTCGTTCGGGTCCGCCCGCACAGCCACCGTACTCGGGCCGTCACAGAAATGATGCCTCATCCAGAACCTGTTTTACATGAAATAAAATACCAATACTTTTGCTCACTTTATTTTTTTTATATAATCTATATGAGGATTCCAACTAAGTCTCTCATCCAACATTACACCCAAAAATTTTATTTCAGAGACCATGTCATCAACAATGATCTTTTCATGTTCATCATGCTTCCTTGTACCAAATATCAGGTTTTTTGTTTTGCCCCAATTAAAAAATAATTTAATAAATTTCCATGTATTACAAAAAGCCGGTGCTTTAATTTGCAGTACAAGCAGTATTCAGTATTTCAACACTGACTTAAACAGACGGCGACCCAAACGGCAACATACAAAGTAAATTAAGCAAATAACCTACCTGTATGGCTCCATATCCATGAACTTTATCTTAAAATGAACAACGACGTTGTCCTCATCCTCCGACCTGCAGCTCTCCAACATGTCTCAAAGTCCATTTCGCTTTCTGGTCTCAAGTTGTAAAGTTAATATGTAGGTTAAGTGAATATTACTTGATATGAATGATCAAATTTACACAGTATACAACAGGTGATATTTTAAAGTAAAAGCACAGAAATGATAAATCTTTGTTGAATTTAAAGAAATAGACAAGGTAATAATTACATGACCAAAAATGTTTTTTTTCAGTGTAGTAAAGGTAATTAAAGCCTCAGCTTCCGAAGTAGGTTCTGTTATAATTAAGTATGATTCAAGCTATTATGTGTTCTGAGTCTGTATTTTTCCATGATTCCTATGGTTCTTATAATTAATTAAGTTTCAAGTTATTATGTATTCTGAGTTTGTATTTTGTGCTGAGCTTATGTCCTTGAAGATAATGTGTCCGGTGAGAACCGGTTTGCACACTTGGAGACAGCAGAAATTCTTCTTTTCCATTGACCTGAATAAACTGTTTAACCTGAGACCTGAACTTTTCTCCGACTATTCCTTGGAGCTGTTTCAACAAAAGAACTGGGTCTAACAATTTTGGTGCCGTGACCCGGATTGGCTGACTCCAAGGTCGTGTCCGGTTGGGGACAGTTGGGGTCCGATCGTGGAGGAAAACCTTCTTCAGACAATTCCAGGCGCGCCTGACGGAAAAGGTGAGCAGAAAACCTCTTAAAATTGAAATTTCTGCACATTGGAGATTCTAAAACAAATTGTCTGAATAAGAAACTTCTTCGATTGCTAAATTTTACTGTGAATTTGAATTTAAAAGTTGAAACAACACTGATAAATGTTTGCTGAATGATTTCTACTGTGGTCACATGTAAAGTTTAAAACACATAGTCTCACGTGAGGGAAAAGCTT